GGCGGGGGGGGGCGATGTCGCGTACAGACTTCTCACCATACTCCAATTCCCGTGCAAGTCACATTCACCGGAAACTGGTCTCTATTACCGATACCCGCCTGCCCCAGTCCCGCGAGAGGGCGACGTGCAATCTGCAACCAATGCAAACAATTGCAGTATGAATCATAAATCTGAACGAATGGTTAACCACTCAAGGACATTATCTGATTGGGCCGATTTTAGTCAGCCCTCAGACCTTCTCATAGGTTTCTCCTTCGTCTGAACTACACTGTCAGACTATAGTAGTACACTTCTTTTCTTTCGTTCTTGCCCATGAAATTTGATTTAGGAATTCGGTCAAGGCGAATTATTAAATAGACGAACATTGAGGCTTGTGGCAAAGTCAAAACAATAGTGCCCCCCGTCTCGTTCGCTAATACGCCTCGGCTGTTGACTGCTTGTTGCTATATGACCGTCTGTGTGGGCTGTAAATCCTTACTTACTTATTTGCTTTGTTCAGCTGAGATCTGACCTGATCCCGCCGTCATCAAGTATTTTACAGATTGGAAATCTCTACACGTAACGATGCGCGGCAGCAGACCTAGGCAGTTCAATCCCTTCTCTTCGCCAACGACGGAGATCGAATACCGAGGCTCCAAGAACAACTACCATGCCCTGACAATCTGTGTCGAGCCAGGTTTTGGGCTGACCCCCCCTTCGGCGTCTCCAATTGACTAACGGTACCGGATTGAGTGGATTAAAACTGATCTCGTGAGGTGGACGACGAAGAACGTATCCAAACCCCCTCAGTCGTCTTTCTTGGAGGGCTTGGGGTATCCTTGCAATGTTATTGCAGCGAGCGCAGTTTTTCATTTGAGATGAAGTTGGTGTACTCCACTTGAAGGATGGTTCTCAAATACTCGTGATCAAATACCTCCCGTTTTGGCTCATCTTCCCCGCGCATAGCCCAGCATTGACAACCATATAAGGACGGACTGGATAGATGCGCTGTACATAGGGCACTTCGTGACAATGGGCATGTCGCGTCGGGTCCAAC